GTCAATCAATAATCAAATATCTTCTAATTCTCGTGGAATATCATGATGATTTTTCCTTTTATTTGACCACCTAATTAATACATATATGTCATTCTATAATAATAAAGAAATATTATTTAAAAATAAATTTAATCTTGATACCTTGACAGTAATGGAAAGACATATGAGTCATTCACGATCGGGCACAAAAAGGTATGCAGTACCATACCCACGATTGGAGAAGCATGAGACACCCGCCAATAGAAGTCGTACTATATTTTATTGATTGATACATTTCTCTAAATAAAAATACTAACACCACAAACCCCCAACTCAATGTATCAGCTTCTTCAAAATCAATCAGATGTCGCAACCACATACAATGCACCAACTTTCGAGATTTCTTGGGCATCAATATCCCTCCAATGAATTATAGAATATATGCCTGACAAAATGCTTTTGCGTTGTCCTCCGAACAATTTTTGGGCAACTCTTTAAATTCACTTTTCAGCCACGGTAATCTTATTCGACCACCGTTGAAATTCGACAACATCTTCCCAAGATACTCTATGCATAGACCCTTCCTTAATCATCATCTGCCACATCACATATGGCATTTCCATCTACCAGTAGCCCGAGTTGCATTGAAACATCCTCCAGTATAACCGTGCACTCCCCACATGGTAGATGAAACATGTGTGTCTCTAGCCTCCATCTCTTAATAAGTGTAGAAATCAGAGTTGGTTCAAGTTTACAACCTCTTTCAACTTTTGCTAAGTGACCGAATCCAGCCTTGAAAAAATATGGTCATATACACCTCGGTGTTGTCATCTTCTGATTGCAAATAAAAGCTTATAATATACGATAATTTTCCTATCAAATAAATTTTGAGCATTAAAATTTGAACAACTATTTTTGTGTTCTTTAAATAAATTCTAACAATTTAAATCATATATAATTGATTACGTAATATTTATAAATTTAAAAAAGAATATTGTTATGTATTCTTACCGTATCTGCAAAATGACTCAAAATATGTTCAGCATCCAATCGCAACAATGCGCCTTCCATTTTTTTACCTGCAATTAAAAACATTAATTAAATTAGTTTATAATAAATACAAAATAAATAATAAAAAATTTATTAGAAACTAAATAATTATATAAACAATTATACCTTGTATATATATAGAATAAATTGAAGGAAGATAGAATTTAAGTGTGTTTTTTTGAGTTGGGGAAGGGGGTTTATATAGGGAGTGGGTTGCGGAGTATAGCGGGAGAAATCGGGTGGGAAGGTTCAAACGGGAAGTTTCGAGCGGGAAAGAGGGCGGGAAGACGCGAGGGTAGTGCCTGTCAGAAAATTAAGGGGAATGTGCATCTGCCATGCGCCTTCCAGGGGATAGCCAATCCAAACGGTTTTACAGGTAAGACGCGTTTCACCAGGTGCGCCTTACTATTTTCCCCGGTAATGTGCGTTCCCTCAAATGCATCTCTTTCTCTCAGGTGTTAGATCGGAAAAATTTTCGGGATCGGTGACTGATCGGTAATATTTTATTTTAAAGATATTTTTTGTCAAAAAGCCCGAGATGATACTATGAGATTTTCTTTAATGGATAAACTCACAGACAAAGACAAATATCTAAACCACTGTTTGATTGTAGAGTAATTAACAAATGGAGAGTTATGACAGCCAAAGCTTTGTTTGTTTCTCGGGAAATTATGGAAAGGGGAGGGGGAAGAAAAAGTGACGCGACGATGCTATATTATTCAGATTAAATTGACATTTTCAGTAAGTGAAATTACACCAATATTGTAGTTTACCTTTTTTTAATTTTTAAAATATAACATTCATGTTTTTATTTTTGGATCTATTGTATTTTAAACAGTAATCTAAAAGATGGTTTGAATACGATTCATATTTACTGTTTATTTTATTTTATTTTTGAATAAAAAGTTATTGAGGGATGATTTACAATTTATCTTCACTATTTGCATAAAATTTCATTACTACAGTGAAGATGGTTGGTTTACAAGTCGTCTTTATTGTTTATAGTTACTATATATATATAATATAAAGACTACAGTGAAAATGGTTGGTTTACAAGCCCCCTTCACTATTCATAAAAAAGAGTTATAGTAAAGAAGGTTGGTTTACAACCAGCCTTTACTATTTATTAAAAAAAAAATTTCATTCAAAGGTTGTGTGGCAGCTTGCAGACTGGATGGCAATGTAACAGTCCAGATGCACAGGGTTTAAGAATAAAGGCTGATAGGGTGGTATTGATATATAGGATATGGGTATTAATTATTTATTAAAAATTAAATTATATTGTGTAGGGGTAGATAATATGGGTAAGTAGCGAAAAAATAAATTATTTTGTTGAGAGAGTTGATTTTTTGTGTTAAAAATGTGAGGTTGAAGATAAAGTGAAAAAAATGGAGTAGAGAAGAAGAAGAAGAAGAAATAGGAAGACGGAAAGAAGATTTAGAGCTTTAGTAGAATATTTTGGAGCAAACAAGTAACTTGAATTTGGTATTTTAATTTTTATTAAAGTAATATTATATTTATAATTTTATTTTAAATTTTTAGATTGTATATTATTGATATAGTGTTAATTTTACACATGTAATTTCGATAGATTTTGAGCAAAAGGAAGGAAAAAAGATTTGGATTTTGGAAAAATATTTTGAAGCAAACAAGTAAGTTGATATAGTTTTTTAATTAATTTTTTATTATATGTATTCATCCATTATTATTTTAATTTCCTCATAATCTCGAATTTAAATTTTATGTCTTATTTTTATTTATAATTTTAGTGATTTTCAAGTAGTATGTTTTTAATGTGTTATTATTTATTAATTAAGGTTAAATATTTTTGTAGTATATTTACATTATATATGTTTTAAACATGCATAGAAAATGAGCAACAACTTTCTTAGATTGTCCATTACAATACACAAATTGTGAAAATTGATGTCGGGGTTGTATGAATCTGAAAGCTCTATGAACATGATGTTTAAAAGGGATATCACACTTCAAGAAATAAAGGGAATGATAAAAATGAAAATTAGAGCTGAGATCGATGATTTGTGGTACAAGTGGAAGACATATCACAATCTAATTAGATATTTTACAATATCTATTCAAGATGATAGTGATGTTGGAAGCATGATTACAATATATGAATCAACAAATACTCAAATTATGGAGTTATATGTTGAGGTGTAAATTCAAATTTATGACTATAAAAAGTTATAAAATGATCACTTGATTATTCATATATTTCAAATTCGTCATTTTTTTTTGTTAAAAAGTTCTTCTGAATTAAACGTTAACCTACTAATTAAAATTGATAAAATTATAAATATATACTTCCTTGTAATCATCTTATACTATTACAAAAACTTGTATATTTTACTATTCTCTCTCTCTATTTATATATATATATATATAACTGTAATCATCTTATACTATTACAAAAACTTGTATATTTTACTATTCTCTCTCTCTCTTTATATATATATATAGTTAGTTAGTTAGTTAGTTAAAGTCCACTTACACAATGTAAAATTATTTAGTTTTATACAGATTTAGGACCGTCGGATGAGTAAAAATAAATGGTTGAGATTTACTCATTGTTTTTTTAAAATTGAATATCTTCTCATTTACTACTGTTAATCTCATACATAGGGATGGCAAAAAAACCGAACTCGTCGGGGAAAATCGAAAACCAAATTAAACGGGTTGGGTTCGGAGATGATAAATGGGGACGGGGACGGGAAAAAACCGCATGTTTTAAATGGGGACGGGGACGGGGAAAAACTGAATGTTTTAAATGGGGACGGAGACGGGGACGAGTTTGGTAATCCCTGCCCCGATTACCTGAATACCCAACCCGATACTTGGCCCGACAAATATTAAAAATAATTATTATATATATATATATTTATATATATATAATATTAATAAATTTAATTTAAGTTAAAAATATATATATATATATATATATAATATTTATATATTTAATTTAAATATATATATTCGGCCTGATACTCATTTAAATAACCGTTTATGCTAAACGGGGATACCCGTTTCCCCGCGGTTTTCCCCGATTACCCGATGGGGATCCCCATTTAAATCCTCGCGATTTTTTAAGCGGAGACGGATACATGTTTTTTAAACGGGGACAGGGACGGGGGGACCAATCCCCGGCCCGAAACCGCCCCATTGCCATCCCTACTCATACATATATTTTCACTCATCCAACGGTCCTAAATCTATGTAAGACTAAAAGAGTTTTACATTGTGTAACAATATCATATACATGTAAAGTAAATTTATCATGAATTATTGAATTTGTATTAGAAAAAATTCTAAAGTATAAATATAAAACTTAAGATAATCTTTAATTTATAAACAAAAAATTTAACCATCATTTTAAATTTATACAAAAACAGTTTGGGAGTCAAATTAAATATCAAAGTCAAAATTAAGTGTCAAATTACACCCAAAAATATCAGAGATCAAATAGCAACTCAATACCAAAGTCAAGAGCCAACTTACAATTCACGTAGTTTCTATTAGACTTAATTAATCATAACCAAACAAAATCAAACAGGTAAGCAATCCTAATTAAAGACATTAACAACGACAATAATATTAAATACATGCCAAAGTTGTTTCACAAAATAACATACTACTAAAATGTCTGATTCTTATGATGGAATGCATACCATATATCACATGCATGCATGATTTGCTCATGCTTTCTTCTTTTTCTTCTTGTTATATATTCACACATGCATGATACATCATGGTAGCCATCCTGTCAAATAATTACTCACACTCGGACCTGCCGCAGTTGCCGCCGACATCGGATCAGGCTGATATCTGTTGTTCAATAAATCCACACAATTAGTAAAGATAAGCTATAGTTTTATCCTCAACCTGAACATATACATACTATGTTTCAAATTTAAGAAAAAAAATTGTCGGAATCTGACCCGATGTTTAATGTCGGTTCAAACTACAATGGGTGGAAGAAGCCGTGAACCTGAGGTTGGTGAGATGGTTGTCGGCCATAACTGATATCTTCAGGATTTGGGTTCAACCGGAGCGAATGTACTTGGTAGCCTTCTATCAACTATACAAACCAACCAATGTCATCGATACATGCAAAGAGAGGCACGCTTCGTTCACATCGTGTAAATCTTTTTAGTTATACATCATTTTCACATATAGATAATTTAAGTAGTCTATTTTCAATTTTAATGTTTAGTAACCCTATATGAGTTCCGTGAAGTTGTGGAAAATGACATACCCTTTGTTTTAGGGTCTGATTGGCTTCACTGAGTAGATGCTCCTGCAACAAGGAGAAATGAAGAACACTGCATTGATGAAATGAACCCGAAAGACAATTCGCTTTACCTTCCTTTGGAGCTCAGTGAGTTGATCCACCATGTATTGGGTCTACAACACAACAGTAATTGATCGAAACGAGATAATATTCAATGTTTATTTCTTTGATTAGATGATTGTTTAAGTGAGTCAAATCAAGTACCCGCATTGATCTGACGAGTTTCAACGATGACTCGAGCTGTTTTTCGAGTGATTCAAGCTCTTTAATGCTTGAAGGACCCAGATCCTCCCCTAGTAAATTCCTAATCAAAATCAAACAAATGATTGACTCATGTTGAGTTGTTAACCCCAAAGTGTTTTTGTGGTCAATATTTTATTGGATTTACCTTGAGGACCTTTGTAGGACTTCACAACGTGCTTTAAGCTTCAAATATTCCTGTTGACTGCTTATTTCCTGTGTAGAATGCATAATACGTAGATCTCAAAAGTATTTACAATTTTATTTAAATTATATTCGTATTAATTTTCATATCATGCTCAAAATAATATCTAGAAAAAAAATCAAAGAACACAAAAAAAGGCAGTCCAAGTAAAAAATAAAGATGCAGAGAGGTTAGAATTACCAAAGTGCTGCCGTTTCAAGCTTTATGGGCTATGAGGAAATGCTAATTTAAGTCCTTAATTTGTTTGTATATTTTATTTGTAGCCACCGATTTATATTAATGAACACTTTCTCTTGTGGTCTCATATATGTGATTTCTTACATTTTGGTCCCATATGCTTTTTATTTATGTTCATGCTATTATTTACATTTGATACGTGTTTTGATAATTATTATTTTGTTTCATATATGATATTCATGATTTTATTGCAATTTTAGTATATATATGTTGTGTGACGTTGGCAATTTTTTTAATTTGATTCTTGCATGTTTACTGTTATCTATTTTAATCTTCTTATTAAACCCATTTCGTATGTACAAATGTAGTATCATTTATTATGTATATGTTTGGTCTATGTATTTGTAATATGGTATGCATGTTTAGCGTTTTTGGAGTATTATGCATGTATTAAATATACTTATGTATTATGTAGTATAAATATTTATATGTGTATACAACGTTGCCCTGTATGCTTATATGTTATAGGCATATTACTAAATTTTGTGTACTTTGCATTTATTATTCTTTTTGCATAAATAAATATTCGTATGTTTTATATATATATATGTATATAAATACATTTTGGTTTTGATATATTTTGTAGGAATTGTTTTAAAATATTTTTAATGTCTTTTTGTGTGGGGAATTTATGGAAAAATCTCTCAGATCTAAGGGAAGTGTGTTTCCAAAGATTACTCGCACGGAGTAGTCTTATTTTATCTTTTTAGAAAGGATCATAATTTAAAGACTAGTTTAAATTTTCAGTTCGGGCGCTGTGGGGGTGTTCATCATTCCCTACACGTAATCGACTCCCGAATCCTTTTTCAAAATAAGCCTCTGGTTAAACGCATACTAGTTTTTATCTTTTAACTTGATTTTTCATAAAATTATTTTAAAAGTCATTTTTAGATATTCGATCTACCTAACCCAAAGGTTGATGACGACTCTAAAATTTGTTTTCTAAACCTAAGTTGATTCGATCCCATTTCAGCCCCAAAAAGTTTAAAGACCCTTCCGACAGCTTGACGACTCCGCTAGGAACAGTTAGAGAGTTATGCCATAATTGATTATACTATGTTTTTATGTTTTAGAATTGTAAGTTTAAATTAGAATTTAAATTATGATTTTTTATTTATTTTGCATCACATTATGTCATATGTCATTTTTTATTTAATTATTACTAATAAATAATTGTACTAGTGTTTGATTTTCCATGGTTTCATACTTCTGATATTTTCTTTCATGTTATTTCATTCTGGATCGAGGCAAAAGATTATGAGTTTTTCCTGATGTTCCGAAAACCATTAGGATAGTAAGAGCTTACTTATTGTGCTCTGTCCCATTAAATAAGGGTGAAAGTTTCGCCTTCGTGAGAAAATTGGTTATCCGCATGAGCGTTAGCTATTAGCCTCTGGGGTTCATACCCTATGTCTGTGAGAAAATTGGTTCTCCGTATGGGCATAGGGATATGTATCCTCTCCAATTGAACTCAGTCTACTTAAGCCTATAGTGGGTGAGGACTAAAGGTCTAGCAGGCCCAAGGGGACACCAACAAAAACAAGTCGAATACCCTTTTAGTGAATCTATATTCGTTTGTATTGAAATGTTGTCAAAATTCTGCACCAAATTTTTGTTCTATGGTAACAAAGGGAAAACTCGTTCTAACCTTGCTTGAATCTGTTAAGTTAATCGATTGATGGAAATGGCCAAGAGGGGGTGAATCAGCAATTAAAAATTTTGGTGGAAGCTTTTGTAGAAAATTGAAAATATTTGCACAACGATTTAGAGTGGTTCGACTTTCTCAACCAAAGTCTATGTCCACTACCTTAGCTATCCACACTAAGGATTTTCCAACAAAGTTACTAATTTGTTCTTTCTTTTGAGGACAAAGAGTAACCTTACAACTCCCTCAAGAATTATACCCCAAATTCTTGAGCACACTCTTTTTCAAAGAGAAATACACAAATTTGCAAACTTACAAGGAAAACCTCACAAGGTAAGATGTTTGCACAATTCTAGAACAAGAAAACAACACTCACAAATAATTACAAATGAGCACAAATGGTGTTCTTTGAAAGAAAAATGAATATTGAAAAGAAAATTGGCTTGATTTGCACAAACTTGGTGTTTGATGCTTTCTCTCTTGTTTCTCTATGATTTCTTGTTGATCAAAGGCTTCAGAACTTGTTTAAATACACCTTGAATCACTTCTGAAAGTTGGGGATCATTAATGAAGTTATTGGAGCCGTTTAAGTGTGAAAACAATTAATACAATAGCTTGGAGCGTGGGGGGAATCGGTACCCCTCATGGGGAATCGGTTCCCTAAGTGTAAAAATTCAAATATTTCGACCGTTGAATAGTGGGGGGAATCGGTTCCCTTCGAACATACTGAAATTCTCGGAGCTAAACCATTTAGGGGGGAATCGGTACCCCCTTGGGGGGAATCGATTCCCTCTGAGCAATCTGGAATTTTTGGCTTTGAAATGGTTCGAAATATTTTGTAAAATCGTTTTGAAATTATTTTAAGATTAAAACTTAATTTTACACTTGAGTAAGGATTTAAAATTAACTTTGAAATACTTTGAGTAATATTTTGATATTCGATTTAATATATCGAATATGCTTAGAAAAATCTTTTTCAAAATTAAAATTCTTTTAATTTAATTTGTTATATCGAAACATCAAAATGTTTTCAACAATCTCCCCCTTTTTGATATAACAAAACATTTTAAGATTTTCTAATTTCAAAATGAATTTTGATTTTGAAAAATACTACTCCCCCTTACTTTAACACTACTCCTCTTCAAAAATACTTTTAACATTTCTCCCCCCTTTTTGTTAAATCAAAAAAGACTCGTAAGAGATTTTAAACAAGGTTTTGAAATCATTTAGCCAATGGATTATAAATATATATAGCTTAGACTGCTAAGAACACAATCAAAACAGAGGTTAGCCATTAGTTCCATAATCCAATATTCATAAACAATGTGAAATGACAAAAATTGGTCATAATGCAACTAATATGTAAATGATGCAAAAATAAACATTAAGCTCAAAATGAAAGTGAAAATCAAACCAAATATATAAGCATGTAAGTTCAAATATCCAATTATCCAACAAATTTAAACACCCAAAATAAAACAATCCATGAACATCAAAATGTTTCACAATTAAAAGTTCTGAGTTCGGGACGATAAACCCATTGACCCAAAGACCGAGTTTGATAAACAAATTACTAAGGAGACAACCATAAACCAAGGTTTTTATATTCTTGGAGGGAACAATGTTTATAGAAATTCACTAAAGATGATATGTGACAGATTAATCTTCTTTTTATGTTGAATACAATATATCCACCATATATCTATGTTCCTAAAGGAGGAATATCTATCTTCGGATGGTCTAAACCACCAAGAGATCAAATAATAAAGGAATCTATCACGATGAGTTCTTAGGGTACTCTCACCATCCTTAGACTTATAGGGTGAATCCACAGTCTCTTTTTCATTAAACCTGAGTTATCTAGTCCAAAATGGGTAGCGATTGTGCCGGAGTCAATAAAAATGAATTGTCCTAAAAGATAGGATCGAATTCCTATAGTTTCAGATCGGAGCTCGTTTTGGACACATACCACGTTGGAATAGAAAAATGTGGACTAATTGATGATAAACCAAAGGTTTGAGTTTAAAGAGTTTATCAAACTTCTAGGATTTAAGAGTAGGAAGATATTGGAAGTCCATATCTTCTATAGCTTGGATCGAAGGGGATACACTCTTCCCAGATTTTATATGACTTAAAACAAGTATGATACATATGGTATAGATCTTGTCCACAACCAGTTACGTTGAAACAAGAGTTCAGAATGGTCATATTTGGGTTATTTGGATTGGATGGAGGAATAAGAGATCGGTTTTGACTTGAGCGACTAGACAATGTCTTAGGTCTTTTAGGATTTGACATGGTTTAAGAATCGAAATAGAATATGCAACCTGCAAATTTAAACACATGTGTATGCAATATACTCAAACCCCAAACTCAAATGAGTCCTTAATATTTCAAGGTTCTCTAAATCGAATCCTAAAGGGCAATGTTTTGAAAAACTATTTGGAAAATAATGTTTGAAAATCATAATACGCATAGTTTTTATGAAAACAATATAATTGAATCAAAAACATCAATTAAAACAACAATTCTTGATTTTTTTATTTCGAAATTAAAAACAATTGAGTGTTTTTGACGAAATTGGTTGTAAAATCATCATATAACCAATGCCCGATGTAATGTTCATCTTAGAACTAATCAAAACTAGTCCTAAGTTCATAAATCAATGAAATAGAGGATTTTGAAATATTACCTTGAAAATTTGGATTTTATGAGAATGTGATGTTGTTTGCAAGGATTAGAAGTTGAAGAAAGATCTAATTTCGACTTGTATTTGACGATTTTGGAAAAAATGGAGATTTAGAGAGAAAGAGAGGATGAACAACGTTTAAGAAAGAAGAGAGGTTTTGAGATAATGGGTTTTTCTGGTCGTGATATATCTAGAACCCGTGGGGGTATCGATTCCCTCAAGGAGGAATTCGGTTCCCATTCAAAGGGGGAATCGGTTCCCTTATGGGGGTATCGATTCCCTCTGCCAAATGTTTAAAAAATCTGTATTTTAAACATCAAATAGTGCTAAAATTATTAATCCTAGTGGTATTGGCAACTCATATTTCGAAAATTAACTATGTTCAAACAATTAAATTTGTCATTAAAATATCATTTGAACAAATAATTAATTTTCACTAAT